GGAGCCAGGGGGGAGGATGACCGCACCGGGGCTCGTGCAAGCTGCGCCTGTGCCCCGGCAGCCCCCCGTGATCCCTGGGGTGCTCCACTCCTTTTCTTCTTCAGGAGGGCTTTCATCTTCATGACAGCCCATCTCTCCATGGCTTTGTGACAAATTTGACCACTAAAGCGACAGCCAGGGCTGCTGGAGCGTGGAGATCAAAGGCCCTGCTGCCTGTGCCGCGGGCAGGGGGGCAGACCCCCCTGCTGCCAGCTGCCTCAGGGTGCTCGCTCATCCCAGGCAGCCACAGCAAGCAGGCAGCCACGCTCCTCACGCCCATCAATCCCGCAGGGCTGAGACCCGGGGAGGCAGGACCTGCATACAGATGTGGGTCTGCTCTGCGCAGCCAGCTCTGAGCCGCTGCCAACACAACCGCGTCTTCCTGCACACCAGCAGCAAGTGCAGAGGTCTCCCTGGCAAAGGCTCTGGGATTTCTGCTCCTGAACAACCTCAGCTTTTGCATTTTTAAGCAAAGTCGCCAGTCCCTCCCACCAGGATGATGGCACAGATCAGAGCAGCGCTGCCTTCCCCAACCTGCAGGCAGGAGACGGCAGTGAGCGCTGGGGACAGAAACAGGCACTGCCCACAACTGCTTCTCCTCCCAGCTGCCTCTGTCCCTGCGGCAGGGCCACAGGACCCTTCCACAAAACCCAGCCTCAGCTCCTGATTTAATCCTGGGTGTCCCCAGCCTGTCCCAGAAGGGAGCGGTCCCCATGCTGACAGCAGCCCTGCAGCATCTCCCAACACCAAGGCAGCCACCGGCAGGCATCAGTCCCCTCTGTCCCTCCCTGCGGTGACAGCCACTACCAGGGAAATGCTGTCCCTGGCACACACCTGCGTGCACGCCCGTGCCACACGCTTGTGATGCTACACAAATAGCAGGTGACCCCCACACCCAGAGCAGGGTGCTGGACTGCCTGCCCGGGCACACCGCCCTGCTACACACACCAGGATGCAACTACATGTATCACCCTTACATACACATGCACACACGCACGTGCAACGCTGCCAGGCTCTGACACACCTCCCTGTGCAGTCCCTGTCCTTATTGGGAGGGCAGCAAGAGATGAGAAGATGAACACAGCGAGGATGGACGCAAACCTGCCTGGGGCAGCCGTGACCGTCCAAGCGTGTCAGCCCCTTCACATCAACACGTGCACACACATCCTTCGCCTTAGCGTGTGGCACAGTCAACTTGTTGTGCTCTTGAGGTGTCGGCAGACAGGCTGTCGCATGGATGTGTCGTGCACATATTGTCAGGCAGAACTCTATCCCCCATCTATTAAGCTTCTGCTTTTTAGACGCTGTTTTCTATTGTGAGCAGCTGCCAAATTTGGATTCACTGGGCTGAAATTCCCTGCTAGCGTCTGTCTTTCCAGATTTTTCCCTGATTTTGAAAATTTGAAATTTTAACTTAAATGGCTATTTCTGTGGATCCTTTTCACTAGGAGAGAGATACTACAATGCTGTCCTTGGAAAGAGCCCTGACATCGGGGACTCGCTGGGCTGGGCAGGGTCCCCATGCTGAGACGTGTCCCCTCCTTGGTGCCAGCGCAGCCCCCTGAAGCTGGGACTCACCTCCACCTCGCATTCGTACTCGGAGGCATCGAGCAGGGTCACTCTGCAGAGGGCACTCTTCACTTTCTTGGTGGTTTTCTGGGGCGACTTCTGGGTCTTGCTGGGGGTTGTTTTGTCAGACAGCCCGTCCGTCTCGCTGTAGTCCTTCTCCTCCATGTCTGCGCCCTGGAGCAGGGAGATGCACAGGGTTACCTGGCACCGCTGCCAGGACTGGCAGATGGGGAAAGCCCTCCAACAGCAGACAGAAGAGGGCAGCTAACTGGGGGGGGGAGGGTGATGAAGCTCTTGGAAGCCCACAGCCAAGCCCACTTGCTCCACCCCACACTGCTGGCACAACCAGGGTCCCTGGAAAATGGACACTCATGAGCCCGAGGTCAGTTCAGCGCCTGAAACCTCGCTGCCCAACTGCCCGGTGCAGCAGGCAGGGCCAGGGCAGCACCGTGCCTGCTGGCAGCAGCACAGCTCCCGAGGCTGGTGCCAGGGTGCAGCCACCATTCCCAGCCCTGCCAGGGGCAGCTCAGTGCTGGGACACGGGGCCACCCGCTTCCTCCCCCTCCCTGGCCGGCAGCCG